AGCATCGTGCAGCTGACTTTTCGGCCCTTGTGAGGTTTCCCGCCACGTCTGTCTGCCACTCACCCCCCTCACCGTCAACGATCCGCCATAATGTCTCGATGCCTTCTGAAGCACCGACGAGCCGACCCCAGGTTGCTAGGAACCCTTTCACAGATTCCTTCGCGGTGGGATCCGACGTCTTCGTAGTCTCGAGTTCGAAAAGAACCGCATACAGTGGGGGAATAATGGGTGTCAGCAGGCTCGAGACGAAAGTCGGCGACGGATCCGCGTTCGTCAGGAGTGTTTGTAGGGTGATGAGCGATGCAACGGGTGTCATTACTTCGTGTGCATCATTATCATCGGAGAACACCGGCGTGGGACGGAGGAAAGGTAGGTGCAAAATGGGTAGCAGGATGCTGGACACGAAGCCTGATGAACCGGAGCTGCTGTCTGCCGCGAACATCCTAGAGAGAGAAAATGCTACAGCACGCTTGTGCGCTTGCGGCACCATTCTAGGGTCTGCAGAAAGCATCGAAATCAGCCTGGGAATGATGACTCCATAGTATTCCTGCAAGTAGGGGTTCAAATATAGTTCCGCCTTTAAGAATAAGACAAACACGAACCTCGGGTTTCATGTTGGCGGGCAGAGCACTGAGTAGACGGCCGACGTGCTCCAGCTTCTCCAGAGGCGCATCGTCGCCAGAGACGTCCTCCTCCCCGAAGACGACTGCCAACAGCCCAGCAACGCCCTCCTGGCGGAGCAACTGCTTGCTGAGAAGAAACCCGCACGACTTGCGCACGTAGGGCAGACTGGACGGTGCATCTGAGAGAATGCTGCCGAGTGCAGCGATGGTCTGAGAAGCTGGCAGACTATCGGGTGTGTCAGAGGGTGCGAATGACTAACCTATCGGATGACTAACATGGAGAGAAGATAGATGACGAGCGGACGGAGGGCGTCCAAGGTGTGCACAGAGTCGGTGGAGAGAGACTTGGGTAGCCAACCTAGGGTGATGCACGGCCTGAGTAGATCTGCGAGGTGCCGGACCAGCACGGTCGAAGTGATGATAGTCCGTGTCAAGGGTGAGTTCACACCATCAGGTAAGAGGAGACGCTGGAATCGATTCATGTAGGATGTGAGGGTGGCATAGTTGTCGGGCGCGCCCGTGAGGTCGATGATCTTTGCGCCTCCGTGGATCCTTGGGGCTGTCCTGGTCGGAATGGCAGCGACGACTCGTGCTAGTAGCGGGTCAACTGCCCACTTGAAGACGATGGATATGAGAGTGCGTAGCTGGGCCATATCTCGTGTACCGACGGCGTCGTCCGCTGGAGATGGTCCCGCGCCGGGTGGGTTCTGAGCATCGCGAGCCTTTGCTTCGGTGACATCTGAAGACGAGTCTCTGGCCCACTTATTCTGGAGGAGCTCGACCACGTTCAAAGCTGCTTTTGCTGTGGCGAGTTGCACGTCCTCCAGTGAAGCATCGCCAGGGAGTTCATCCACATCTCGCCCGGAAGACGCGTAGTATTGCGCAAGCCGCCTCTGCAGAACCTCCCTCAAGTCTGATGCAGACTCTGAGGACGACGAGCCAACAAGATAGGCACTGGTATGGAAGATTTCTGAGGTTTCTACGTTTTGCATCGTGGGTCGCGAGCGGAGCGGAATGAGAGAGGACTTATTGATCTAAGCGATCTGTGGCGGGTTTCAGCGCCTAAGTACACTTGACCACCTCGACGGCAGCAGCAACACCCGACCAAGTATTGACATCCGACACCAATGAGGGAATGCACAACCTATCTCACTGATTCTCAGCTCCGGGCTCCCCAAAGGTCTGCACGGGAGGCCAGCTCATCTCCATTTAGGGACAGATTGCATTTGGCTGCATCAGGGTATTGGGAGAAGCACGCAGATTCTCATGATAAGTAGTGCATCTCCCTCGAGGTCTGCGCATGCACCTTCCCCCCCACTCGTTCTCACCGCGCACCACAATGCAGATACAATCTCCGTCTGCAGATGCTCCTGCTTCCACTCCTGAGGCAACGGCTGCCTCAGGCATGGACAGCAGCAGTGCCGGCGACGCGGAGGGACTTGAAATCGTGCAGCAGATTCTCTCAGGAAAGTTGGCCCGCGAGCTCGTCGTCTCACATGCAGGAAGGAGCCAGTATAGCCGTATGGGTGGGGGTGTCTCTGCCTGCGGACTGGCTGCTTTGAACTGTGCAAGGATCATTCTTGGGACGGAGCGCGCTGGATCGAGGGGCGGAGATCTTGTCAAGGAGATAATGAAGCAAGAGACACTGGAGGTAACGCTAGCAACTGCATATGATGTTCGTTACATATGTCTCATCCCTTGCACAGCAAGTGCTCCGACCGTGCTTGTCATGGTCGAGCCCGGCGCACCTTGACGTCGACGACATCTATCAGGCGCCTGTCTTCAAGCAGTCTATGAAGCTCCTTGGATCCGACTTTGGTCAGTCTGGGCTAAGCCACTTCAAGAAAGCTCTTCAGTACGCATACTATTCAGGGTTTTCAAATTATCACTGAGAGTTGTCGTAAATGAAGGAAGCTCGTGGATACCACCCTCAAATCAGGCGCCTCATCCTGCTCAATCATTACACGCCCTCCCGAGATAGTTTCGTGCTTCAAACTTGTCGATACCCACTCCGACATCTTCGTAATCTTCGACTCCCATCCTCGTACCAAGCACCCCGACGGTGCAGCGTTCATCTTCATGAATTCATTGGATGCTGCCGCGCAATATCTCGCCGACCTTCTGAAGTGGGACGATCGTATCGTCAACGACGCCTCCGTGCAGTGGCAAGCACAGCTACTGGCACACTTCTCCGCACACACATTCATCGGGAGGACAAAGTACGGCTCGCCTGAAAACCTTGCGGCGACAGCTCTCGATGCCAGCTTGCAGGCCCTCAACCTACGCGCAGAGATCCTGGAGCTTCAGTCCCGCAACTCTACCCTCGTCACCGAGAATGACCGCTTGCGTGCGGAGGTGCGGGAAAGCCGGCGCAAGGAACGGGAAGCAGCAGCCAAACCGCTTAGGTCGGTGAACAGCATGTTGGACTATCTAGGGATGCAAAATTCTTGGGCCGCTGGCCCCTCGAACTCGCGTTCCTCCGATACTGCTCCGCGTCCTGACCCCGTAGTCCGGCCTCCCGTTCGCCAGGTGAGGCGTCCGCAAGATCGTACTCGATCGTACCGTGACGTCGCCGGAGGATCTGCCTTACGAGAGCACAAGGACCCCGCGCTCGACGACTTTGCTATGGCAGCAGTACTGCAGATGCAGGTTGACGATGAGGGCAAACGCGACGAAGCACTTGCATATGCCATTCAGCGCGAGTTCGACGAGGAGAGAATACGGCTAGACGGGGAGCTTGAGCATCTGCAGCGAGCTCAGAAGAATGCGTTTGACTGCGGGGTGTGTTTCGAGAAATACAGCGAGGACGCCGTTGCCAGGGTACAACCCTGTGGGCACCAGTTTTGCAGAGAGTGCATAGTTGGGTACGTGAAGTCGAAGGTGGACGAACGCTGCTACCCCATTGTATGTCCATCGTGCATGGTGGACGAGAAACCTCCTGAGAAGTCGCAAAGTGGTGAGTTCCTCTTCGCGAATCGAGTACTTGGTCTTTGTTCACCCATGACCTTTGCAGTTATAGACGATCTGCTGGTCCAGCAGCTGGGACTTTCTGAGGAACGGTACGCAGCCTTCGTCGAGATGCAGATGGCTACATTTTCCATCATCCTCCATTGCCGCAGGTACGCCTAACCCTTTTTCCCTCTCAGTGTGCGGCTGAGATGTGCTCCTCAGGTGCACAAAAACGCTCTTCGTTGACCGTCGCGAATACGAAGAGACAGAGATCATCACATGCCCCCTCCGAGGATGTGGTCATGCCTGGTGCAAAGCATGCTCACAAGGCGTTGAGATAGGCGGCCGCCGCATTCCTGCGATGGTTCGAAAGAGCTACACCATTTAATGGGTCAACAAGGATGGATGTATTGCCTGGTGAGTCCTTCTATCATGATCCGCAAATGATAACTAAAGCGCATTCTATTTCCAGGATGCCAAACGCCGGCGGAGAAAATCTCCGGCTGCAATCATATGACTGTACGTTCGTGTGACTCTGGTTACGCATCATGGGCTCACTCTTCACGCATACCTGCAGTGCTTGGCCCCTGGGTGCAGCACGTGAGTATATTATACCCTCCAGACATTCAGCCCTCCTGCTCATCGCTTGTGCCCTTGACTAGGCACTTTTGCTACCTCTGCAAAGGCACCATCGCTCGATCTGTGAACCGGAAGCAGATACGCGAGGCATTGGCCGCTCATTATGCGAAATGCCGCCTTTTCGAGGATGTGTAGGCTCCGGTCCTCGTCGACTTGTCGCCATCATGATATGCTAGATACATAGCCTGTATCCGACCTCTTAGACCTGAGATGTCCGGAGCGGTTCCGAATGGTACAGAGTTCATGCGCGTATGCTCGGGGCTTTTAGATGAAGAGACCATCTCGATTGTGGGAAGTGCACGCCCGGAGAGTCAACCAAGACAATATCCTGGTGATATATAGCACGAGGAGGGAAAAATACCGCGCGGAGTGGTCACTAGTACTCGTTCTGCAAATCAGTACCACTTCCCTCGGCATACCAAAACTATTGTCTCACAGGGCTCTTGTGCACGCGGGCGCGGCATATGAAGTGCGTCCACACGGTCCGTGATACAGCCAAGTGCCTTTATCGAATTCTCTTGAAGCAGCCTCCAATAGAATTACGAGTAGCAGCATGTCCGAGACGGTGCAGAAGAACTGAACATGTTTTCGAATGTTGTCTCCTAGTACGTACGTAGACTTACAGACAGGGCCATCCCAGAGACATGAATTCATGGCCTCCCAATATTCAATATTTCCTCAAGTTTTTCTCCTGCATGTATCGCATGACGATATTGTACTCGTTTACTGTTTAGTGGATACCACATTCCATTGACATGATTCGAGTTACAATTTTCATCACATTTGCATGGCCGCCTGGCGAAATGGCATCGCGTCTGACTACGACTTGACAAAGCTCATCACTGTAATCAGGAGATTGCAGGTTCGACCCCTGCGGTGGTCATTTTTTATATTCGAATTTTACTGATAAACATCTGGAAGTTTTTGGCTGGTGTTTCGACACATCCCCCAAAAGGCAGGGCAAAAAAGTACTCGCCGAACATCAAGGCCGTCTGTTGAGATACATCGTCATGCATTACATTGTAGTATGATGGCTCGTAGCGTTACAACGCGAGTCTAGTCAAGGCAGCTGCTTCTCCACCTCAGGCGACGCTGAGGTTCCCGACCCCGTCGACGACTTCCTCTGGAATGCCTTCGATAAGCCTGGTAATCTACATCATAAGTCACGGATAAGTAAAAAAACTCAAGGGAATAACCACGAAGACGACATACCTTCCCAATCGCTATTGTCTTGCCTGAGCACTATATGAGCACGACGGAGGAGATAATACAACAATGCGCTGACCTTCGTCTCGCAAAGTGAAGCGACCGAGCTGTGGGTAGTCGACAAACCTCTCCACACATACCGCTGCCGTCGTTTCGATGAGCGCGACAACCTTCTGGCCTGCGGGTGGAATAGGTGTCAGCCCGCAACCGGGACTGTAGACACGACCTCTCACCTTTTTTGGCGAACTGGGGCGGCTTTCTTGATTTCCGGCCGGTAGCCTTGTCGAAGTAGTGCAGGAGGGCCTAGAGAACCTCATCAGCCCGCGCTGCGTGACAGACGAAGGGTCCTACAGCGAGCGTGACTTCCTCTGCGAGCGTGTGGATGTGCATGACGGCGGAGTAGCCTGCGCAGATGATGTTCTTGTGGTCGAGGATCGCAAGCTGCGCCTCGAACTGCCGGACGGCGTGGACGGGCTTTTGCGGGCTGGTGAGCACGAACCCGGGCTGATGTCCTCATCCTCGATGCCGCGGAGGCGGATGCGCACGTTGTCGCCGCACATCGCAGACGTCACCTCGTCCTCCATCTCGTTGTAGATCGCGGAGATCTCGACCTGGTCCTTGTTGGCATGAGCGCGAGCGTGTCGCCCTTGCGCATGTGCCCCGACTCGATCTTGCCGACGACGATCGTGCCCATGTCCTTGTACTTTTCCGAGACGGGCATCATCAACGGTGCGTGAATCTTGCGGTCGACCATGGGCATGGTGTCGAGTTGCTCGAGGAGAGAGGGCCACTGTAGATCGTGCGGTTCGTGAGAGTCCTCGGCGACAACTACGACAGCGGACTCACGTGTACCAAGGGCAGTCGGCCTTCGTCACGCGGTCCTTGATATTGAGACCAGTGTATGCAGATACAGGGATGAAGACGAGGTCTGTCTTCACGTTGAAGCCCGCAGCCTTGATAAACGGCGTCATCTTGTTCACGATCTCGTCGTAGCGCGACTTCTCCCATAGCACGGTCGACTCGTCCATCTTATTGATGACACAGATGACCTTCGAAACACCGGCCGTCTTTACAAGCATAATGTGCTCTCGCGTCTGCCCCCCTTTTCGAAACCAGTCTCGAACTCGCCCTTGCGGGCGGAAATCACCAGGATGGCAACGTCCGCCTGGGCGGCGCCAGAGATCATGGAAGGAACGTACGTCTTGTGACCCGGGGCATCGAGGATGGTGTATCGTCTCATGTTGGTCTCGAAATAGGCACGGCCGACTTCGACAGTCTTTCCCTTCGCGCGCTCTTGCGGTGTAGAGTCGAGTGCCCAGCTGAGATACCAGGAATCTCGGCCGGCCTCCTTGGCTTCGCGCTCGTATTTCTCCATTGTCCGCTTGTCGACCATGCCGGAGAGGAAGAGCAGCTGTCCGCCCATGGTGCTCTTTCCCGCATCGACATGGCCGATGAACACGATGTTCAAGTGCTCTTTGGCTGTCAGAGATGGTATGAACAGTGTTCACGCGACGGATCAGACACCCTGCACGACTGGGCTCTGTACATGCCCATAACGCACCTTCACCGTAAAGATCGGTAATAACCTGCTCATCTGCAGCGTTCTGCACTTCCTGCGCGATCGCGGCTGTGTCTGTCTTGGCCTTTTCGAGGGAGAATGTTTTGGATGTTGGAGGGGCGGGAGATGCAGATGTTTTCACTGATGTGGGAGCAGCTGCGGCTGCCTTTGCTGCTGGTGTAGGCCCGGCAGAGGGAGGTGGTGCGGTGGATGAGGGTGCCGGAGGCGGTTTTGCTCCGCCGATGTTCAGTGTGATTGTCGGGGCCGGAGGAGGTGCCTCAGCCAGCGGTGGGCGTTCGACAGAGGAGGCGGAGGGGCTGGGCAGGCTGCTGAGGTGGGACACGGAGAGCCTGTCCGGGTACGAAAGAGAAGGCGTTGGCGTTGAGTCGGCCGCTCATGGCTAGAAGAGGACAGAGGAATAACTATCGGAGAGATCAGTATGGAACAACAACAGCTAGGAGTACAGACGGGCGATAGCACAGCAGACGGTACACAGCAGAAGACACGAGCCGCCATGATGCACTCCGTCCTCGTACATTTTATGGCTGCCTGATATGGCAGCCGGTGGCGGGTCCGTTCACTTGATCATTCTGACTTGTAACTCATCCCATGGCACTAAATCCGCCCCCGGTTTTTCATCGTAGAGGTCGAGAGCATGTGAGAACTCCTCTGGCTGTTTTTCAAAGCTCGTGCAGATCGCACGACTGGTCTGGCTTCAAATCGGTCCTCACTAGCCATCCGGACGCTTTCTCGATCATAGCACACACGTTATAATCCAAGAGACCGTAGTATAATCGCTGTAGTCGAGCGGACAGTATCAATCAAGTACGAAAACAATCCGGATTGACCATTTGCTTAAGCTTGAGAATGGTGAGCGCTCGAGAGGACGGAGTGAGATAATACAATAGACGCCTTACATAATACGCGCCCGGATACCGATGCGATCATAACCGCTCGAGGCCAGCGGCAGCCAGACGCAGACCGTATTCCCCACCTTCCGAATGGCTGAACCAGAAACATACCTCGCTGTACTCAAAGCGTCCTATGACTATGACCCTCAGCCAGATGCCGATGAAGAGCTAGCGATCAAGGAGAACCAGCTCTTGCTGCTGCTCGAGCGCACAGATGATGAGTATGTTGCACCCCCCATCGGCCTCTGCGGACAGCTCAATGCTCAAATCACAGTTGGTGGAAAGTCAAAGTCAAGACCGACACCCAAGAAGAAGAAGGAGCCTCAGGCCTTGTTCCTGCGGCGTATGTTGAGCCGGTGGGTGGTCATCCTGGTGTCATGCCATCCACATTCTCAGGCTGGCCCGACGCAGGCCGAACATACTTCCGTAGTAAAGGCGCTGTACGAATACGACGCCACGCAATCTACGGAGCTGACCGTGAGGGAAGACGAACTACTCTATGTGTATGGACAGGACGCGGACTGGCTCCTCGTGCAGAGCCAGACAGACGACAGCAAGGTCGGGTATGTGCCCAGCAACTACGTCGAAGAGGTGCGCTACGGATCCTTCTTGCCTTGGTCTCCTACTTCATATACATTCTATCAGACGACCGGCGAGGACTCACAGGCGGAAGCGACACCGTCTGCGCTGCCAATCTCGCAGATAGTCATCCCGCCATCCGTAGGTCTCCTTGGGTATTGACGCGTTGCACTGAGCTCACGTTTCCACATGTCACTAGCCTCCACGGCCAGTGAGCACGTACGTGGATCCCGCAGATCGTGTCGCGGCGGCACCCACAAAGGCACAGGCCGACGATATCCAGACATGGGCGATATCCGAGGTTGACAAGAAGGGCAAGAAGAAGAAAGGAACCCTTGGTGTCGGCAATGGCGCAGTCTTCTTTGCAAGCGAATCTGACAAGGTACGCATCCCCCTTTCTCCGCCGTTCAACACGTAACACCCATGTCGTGCGCACAGACTCCCGTGCGAAAGTGGCAGACCTCCGACGTGCAGGCCGTGCGGCCGGAGAAGTCGAAACACGTCCACATCGAGATTGGCGGCGCCGACCCAATTAACCTGCATTTCCACGCAGGCTCCAAAGACGTTGCAGAGGCGATCGTCGCGAAGCTCGAGTCCTCGCGCAAGCTCGCGGGCCCGCAGCGCACTAGCGAGTCCAACTCAGAACCGGAGCGCCCCATCAGCAGCGCACAGAAGGCCGTGCACTTCGACGCCTCGGAGCCGGAGATCATTCCCCCGCGTGAGCCCTCCGAGGACGGGGCGGAAGAACCGCCGGAGGAGACGCATGCGTACGCGGAGGCGGTCGACGTGGAAGAGGGAGAGTCTGCGGTGGTGCTCTACGACTTCACGGCGGACGGCGAGGACGAGCTGTCTGTGCAGGAAGGCGAGAGCCTCCTGGTTTTGGAGCACGATGGCGACGAGTGGTGGAAGTGCAGGAACGCGGCGGGTGAAGAGGGCGTTGTTCCTGCGAGCTACGTCGAGGTAGGCATCGTGCTCGCTTTGCAATGCTGTGGAAAATCTGATTCCTTCATTAGATTGTCGTTTCAGGAAGTGGTGCCAGCACTCCGCGAGCAGCTGCAGAGCCGAGAGAAGATAGTGGTGCGATGGCCCGAGCTGCAGCGAGGGAAGCCAAAGAGGCCGAGGATCGTGCAGAAGCCGACCGCCAGAGGAGGGCTCGCGAACAGGCTGAGCAGGAACGCGCTGAAAGGGAGCGGAAGAAGGCGGAGGCGGAACAACGCGCTCAGGCCGCCGCTAACGCTGCGGAAGAACGAAGGCTGCAGCGACAGCAGCAGAAGGACAAAGAGCGTGCGGCCGCTGCTGAGGAGGCACGGAAGGCGAAGCAGCGCGACTCCACCTCTGAGTCGTCTACTCGCAAGAAGAGTAACGGTGATTCATCGACATCCAGCAGGACGTCGATTGACAAACGTGAGTGACCTATCTTATCCTGCTTCAAACACGCCTCTGATTTCGGTCGCAACACAGGTGGTCCTCCCCCCGATAACACGCGTGTATGGCATGATAGGACTGGCCAGTTCCGTGTCGAAGCGGCCTTCCTTGGGTTTGCTAATGGCAAGCTAAGGTTGCACAAGGTCAATGGCGTCGTCATCGAAGTGCCTGCTGAGAAGATGTCGGAGGACGACATCCGGTACA